TAGATTCAGGAGCTCACCGTGACAAGCTCAAGGTTTAAGGGGAGTCGCTTACTTGGCTGCCCTGGCAATGAGAAATTCTAAAGCAAGGCTGATTTTGAAGGCTGATTTTCTTACTAAGATTTATTAGGACTTGAAGGCTGGAACATTGCTTCCTGAGCTCCTCCTTATGGAGCTTGCGTGAGAGGGCGTCTCTCTTTATTTATAGAAAACCCACTAGAATTATAGAAAAAAACTAACCGCAGAAATGATAAATGGAACCGCTTGAAAAGGCTCACCGCGTGGGGGCGGCCGGGAAAGGCTCGGAAAGGGTCTGGGAGCCGCAGAAACTCTGGGGCCCAAGGTTCTCTAAAATAATGAGCCCTGGGTCATTAATATAGGGCGGGGTGGGCGTGGGGGGGGGGGGCGCCTTCTTCTCCGCAAACATGGATTAAGCGGTTTTTGCACACGTGCTCTCTTGCACAGCGAGCTCAATCGTTGCCCCGCAACACATGACACGTCCCTTGGCTTGCAAAAGGTTGCTTTGTGCCATGTAAAGCCTTCCCACACACAACTTTTACTTGTAACGCGCGCTCTGCTCTGGCGGCTGCTGCGTTCCGTGGGATATGGACCCGTCCCATCGACGCAATGACGCGCAATCTGGTAAACTGGGCAAGATTTATCTTGCACACATGCGAAGCTGATAGAGTTACCAAGCGCAGAGTACCCGCCAAAAGTGTTTTTAATTCACAGTAAGGAACCTTGCGCGCGTAATATTGCACAGGATGTAATACCCTTTTGCAAAAGACGTACAAACAGAATATGCAAAAAAAAGGGATGACCTACGACAGTTGTGGTCGCACGGAAGTCTTGTGTTCTTGCAATCCCAAACGTTTATACCTTGGATTTCTGCACAGATGCCGGAACCGCAAATAAGATTAACGCAGCTCGGAACTGGGAAAGACGTCGTCGCAGCTACGTTGCGCTATTATGTTTGCTGCGCCTGCTAGGTGGTAATCTGGGTCGGGGCTAGTATCATGCAAGCTGAACATAGCGCAAATCCAGACCCTTGCAAATCTTTCGCAAGCATTTGCACCTTTGTCATGGGGCACTTGCTGCCACCAGCTTGCTCAGCTGGAGGACGGCATATACACACAACAAGAAAGGGCCGTTACATATTTCAATGCTCACAATGAGAATCGCCATCGCCTCGCATTGAGCACTAGCAAACAGCAGCGCAGCTTGCAACACAAAATAGCAGAGTAGAAAGTGTAGGCTGCATGAAACTTGCAGTGCGAGCGGTCAAGCACCAGATTGAATTTGAAGTGTTGGTTCTGTTGCTTGAACATTTTGGGGCTTTTGAACTGGAATCTGAGGCCACCGGGAACCAATGATCTCCCAACAAATCATAAGTCCACCAGGCACAGCAATCGGATTCCAGACCTTGTGGTTCTGCATGTCTTTTATATGGCACACATAAGAAAAAGCTTGAGGTGACTGAATTCTGTTCAGGTCTCTGAGTGGTGGTTAAGGATGAGGCCAGAAAGCTGTTGGCAATACAGGCCAGTCCGTTCATATGAAGGCCAGACTCTGTCAGTTGAAAACATTGACGTTTTGGAGTTTGAAGTAAGAGCCAAAAATGTCTTATCATACCGCTTATTCGATCAGGGCGCATCGGCATCTCATCAGCGTCATCACCATCACCATCACGATCACCATCATCATCATCATCATCAGCAGCAGCAGCAGCATCCTCATCCTCCGCCGCTGCCCCCGTCGCCGCCACCGCCAGCGCCACAGCCACAACCGATGACCTGGGGACATGGAGCTAGCGAATCTGAGTTGATCGCTTCGGATCCCTTCCCTTTTCAAATGCCAACCCAATTCTGTTTGACCTCTTCTTGTTTTCAAGCGGTCAGGCACGCCGACCAGAATCGCATATTGTGGGGCATCTCTTCTCAGCGACTAGCCCTGCCAGTTCCATGGGGACCTTGGGGGGCCTACCGTGAACAGTAGGCAGCAAGCTGATTTGGAGCCTCTCTCTATGACTGAATTCGCAAGCCACGCTGCAAGTCCTTCTGCCTAGTGCTCGAAGCTAGTTTCAAAAACTTGCCCTCACCCTGGCTGTAGCAAAGTGTATTCCGAAACCCTAGACACGCGTGACACTGACTCGGTCCAATTACTTGCACCTAGAGAACTGTACACATTCCACAATCTAAACCTCAGCAAAGTTGTTATGCACTGTTCAGCGACTGTAGGTGAGGTTTTAACTTGAGCAAAGCATCATACGCAGGACCTCCAGTCTTAGGCAAGAAAACTCTCACGTTGACAAAGACTTACTTCAGCACTACAATAATTGCTGCTAGTAATTCCAGTATTGCTTGGACTTTCATCCGTGCCACCAAGAAATGCACTGTTGGGCACGAGGGGTAACACTTCCACATGGCAGTTTCCCAAACTAGGGGGACCGCTCGAATACTACAGTCCTTATTATCGGGACCCCCGAAAAGGTACCACCTAATTTTGGGAAAGCCCTAAACCCTAAACCCTATAAAGCGCCGATAGAACCCCTAGTCAACCCCAATATCCCCTTGAAGCGATACTCCTAATTTTGGGAAACCTCCAAGTAGAAGCAACACATCACAGAAGTGGAGGCACCGAGCAGACACCGACATTGCGATCGATGTAGGAAAGGACCTGAAAACAAAATGTTTGGAATGTGGGCTATAGTCAAAACTGAATTCCTAGTATCCCCCTTAACAAGCCCTATAATGGTCCCCTGGTAGTCCCCTATATAACCTGCCTCTCACCAAACTAGATTGTGAGGTTCTCCAAGAGGATTCTGGGGTGTGAAGGTTCTCAACTGTTGGGGGTTCTCGCGGGTGCTTAGTACAGAATAAAGACATAGAATCCCCACATGATATGTTCCCTTATTTCCTGCTAATCCCCAGTAAGTTGTAGGGTTCCAGAGTGTCAGGGCTTAGAGAATTCCAGGCAGAACTGCTCTCCAGGGCAGCACGTTCCAGGTCGTCGACCATAAGGCATTTTGCATCTGAAGCAGACCTTCTGGTTGCTAGCAAGGAACCGAGTAATGGATCCTTATAGCATGCCCTATATGATCCCAATAGTCTGGTAAGTTCATGTTTCTTTCATTCCTTCATTCCCTACTCATAACCAGCCAGTGGATAGCAAATGGCCTCCCTCCTTTAGAATTCCCATTTCTTGACGGGTTTAGGGTTTAGGTTTTAGGGCTTAGGGGGATGACTATACTGGCGTTTCTGAAAACTGGTGTCCTTCAGAACCAAAAGCGGCATCAAAGAAAATCGAAGATTGTAACCATCTTGCAAAACATATGGGATGATGCAGGAGTTCGTGAAGCAATCCATAGTTGTCCCTCAAATGCTGCAGAACTACCCCATGATACTGCAAAATGTGCCACAATACCCTAATGCCCGGGTTTCTGAAAACATAAGTACCCAACATTGAGCCCATCTGCAAACACCCGTATGGTCTTGCGGCTATGCGAAGAAATGGGTTAATTTCGGAAACCGGTTCGTCAGCTCAGGAGCCAGCCACCAGCTTTTTTCCAGGCTATTGGTTCCACAGGTAAACACAAAACACCGCCTATGGTCCCTGGCTTTTGTGTTCGCCCCCCCCAAACCGGTGCAGAAGCACAACATGATGCATCTTTACAATAGAACCACAGTGGAATAGCAAAATTCACACTTCCATATCTCAAGATATCCTCCGTGCACGCCCTCGTAAGGAGCTCCCTAATCCCCTTCTAATCCCGTGGTCCCCATCTGTTCCCCATGGTCCTCCCCCCCATGCTCCCTCCAGATTGCAAAAAGGGATTCGGGGATTTCCCAATATTAGGGGAACCATTTTGGGGGTCCCAATGATAAGGAGTATAGTGTTTGGGGGGTCTATATTGGGGTCCCCCTATTTCTAAGGTTGAAACCATGGGCCCCTAGTACGGGCCCTTAACCCTGGGATCGTAGCTTATATACCTACTGTATACCCTAGAAGTATCCTGTAAGGGTCCCTAGAATCTTCCAAAAAGGCTTAAGGGCCCATATTGGGGGCCCATACTTTAAACCTGAGACTATTTTGGGAAACCGCCATTCTGAGACCCCGCGCCGAGATCTCTGGCAAAAACTCGGCGGTGTGCTGGGAAGGCACTTTGACCTTCCTGCAGGCAATCTTCAGATTCTGACTGCAACCATAGAGAACGAGAGCAGGTTTGAGGGTGATGTTTCGGATAAGACACTACCAAGAAGGATCTCAGAAGCGAGTTCTGGGTTTAATTTGGTCACAAAGGAGTAGCTGTTCAGGGAGCATATCTTAGGAGGACCCCCCACCCTGTAATATTGACTACAAGGGATAACAAGGATAATATAGGGTCCTATTATATTCCTACTATACCACTACTACAGGGTGGGGGGGTTCCTCCTAAAGCACATCCTAATCTAGGGCACCTCCGAGTTCATTGCAGGCCCACCAAACTTAGGACCCTTTAAAAACTCGAACAGCAAAAGTGCACCCGTCATCCAAAAGAAGTCCAAGCCGACGTGGCTTTAGATAGGCTTCTGTCAGAGCAAGGGTTTACGGTGTTTTTAAGGCTTGGCAAGATAGATATGGAGCTCAAGGTTTGACATCTGTGGCCGACTTCTGGATAGTGAGCCTTGAGGCTTTAGAGACCAAGGATTCCTAGAGCCAAACAAAGTTCGCAGCGTCCTTGCAAGGCGGCAAGTCCTCCTGACATGAAATTCTTCTCTGAATGGCTTGAGGATGGGTTTTTCCTGCAACCTGCAAACAGGGAGGAGATGATTTTTCAATTATCCCACGTCCTGAGCTCAAATCTCGTTAAGAACCCCTGCTTATTGCTCTGCTCGTCAGACGCTAGCCGCAGGCCTCTTTGCCAAGTCGAAGAGTCCCAGCGCACGCTCCAGATGGTCAACCTGTGTTTCTTTGAGGTGTAGGGTTTGGATGCCCTTGATCCATATCTTGGTTTCCTAAACAGAGATGATTAAAAAGGGTTCAGGGTGTCGGGTGAAAGGTTGAGAGTATGAAGTATCCTTGGGGCCCTAAGGACATGCGGGGACAATGTGCGCGATGCAAAGCAGAATTTTGCAAACGGCCGCCTCAGCTCAATTTCAGAAGCCTGTTGTAGATAAGTTGCCGTTTTCGTAGCGATAGCAGGGCCTGATAAGAGATTCCGTGGCGACCATGTTTCCAAGACAGCGACAACTGCTGAATTGGGCCGAGCACCGCATGAGGGTGGCATAGAAAGCCTAGCCCGCACCATGATAAAAGCCAGACTACGTTCCGCGCAAAAGCCTCAATGAGACGTCAGCTGAGTAGTAGTAGTAGTAGTAGTAAAAAATGATGAGAATAATGGTCATCTCTGTTGATAGGAGCGTGCGTTTTAGTGAGGGATTGGGTCCAGGTCACAACAACAAATACGCTCGAATAGCAAACGGAATCGCCGCACATCTGCAACATCTGAGCTTGGAACGCGCATGGCTGCTGCAACGCGCGCTAACGCAAAAGCGCAGAACAGTTCGTCCTGCCAACAGGCAGCTATATGAGCAGCATCTAGCTGCATTCCATTCACCAACAAATGTCACAATTCTTCTTGTAGAAAGAAGAACAACGGCATGTTCACGGGCACGAACAGCAATACTGGCAGTACAGGAGCAAATTTTCATAGCAACTGGGTATTCATAAGAAACAATGCAAAGTTGGATCCTGAATCGTGTACTAGGCACCCCCCCCACCCCCACCCCGCTGAAGCTGGTCCCCATTTGGGATGGGGGAGGCCCTCCAAACAAATTTGGATCCTAGCCTTGCATGACATTCACTTGGAAGGATCAGCTGGGGTAAGAATGTCAAGGTTTCCCAAAGGTTTCAGAATAGTCCAGAGGGTTTCAGCTAACATCAAAGCAAAATGCCTACCTGCCAAATATCAAACATGTGTTTGGGCCGTGCAACTTCCAACATATCAGCACCCCCCACACGAACTAGGGAGATTCTGATAATTTGCACCGAACCTCGCATAATCAAGGCTCCCCACGCTGATCGGCTTTCAATATGAAATACCAAGTTAACAGGGCACACATTCCACTCATCGTTGGCACTCACGAACGTACGGTCTGCTGACATATACTCAGACAGATGAGAATGACCGCTGCGAGGAAGCAGCCATCAGAAGACAGTTTTAATCATTATCTTAGGCTTTAGGTTTTAGGGTTGACTTGGCCTACAGGGGGATCAGGTCCTAGGGTTTTTAGGTTGAAGCACTAGGCTGAAGCTGGAGGGCTTGCGGTCTAGTGTCCCGCGCAAGGCATTCTCTTGGTAACTTTCAAAAAATACGGGGACCCATATGTAGACCCCAACATGCTATACTCCTTATTCTAGGGTCCCCCCAAAAAGTACCCCTAATTTTGGGAAACCTCCACTTCTGCTGGGTAGATCGAGAAGCATGGGCATGCGGCAAATTGAGAGTAGATTTCTAAAATTGGGAATAGAATTCTAGGCGCCCTGCCTACTGCCCAAGACAAGAATACAACCGCTTCTAAGGGGACTTTTGATTAGACATGTGGTTTCCTTGAGCAGGGGGCCCATACGGCGCAATCCTATATCTGGGGCATTCCAAAAAGGGGCACAAAACTAGTGGAACCCCGCAAGTAACTGTTGGGTACAGGACTGTGGGATGCATAGCGGTGTTGCAAAAACGGCCGTTTTCAGTTGTAGTTGCGCTGTGTTGATGGTGCTGTGTTTCTTCGCGCCTTTCTTGCCCTTACTTTGCTTCTAACTCTCAGAAGCCTTTCTAAATCTCCAGTACCTGAAGTGCAAGAATAGTGGCTCGAGCTGTGAGCCAGACCCTAAAACCTAAACGAGGCAAAGTAAGTCAGTGAAAGCTCCTGCCGGTAGACGTTCATGATCATCCTCGGCTGGTCTTCTCAACAGCAACAAGTTGGGGTGTAGGGTTCATTTGAAATGATGGTGCCCTCTATGGACTACAAAAGGGATGCTGGGGGTAGGGATCCCAATGGGAGTATAGGGGTCCCTATGTTCCCAGGGTCCCCAATCCCATCTTTTGAGAGACCCAAATATTCCCCAAATTACAGCCGGGCTGCTGAACGCTGATTGTCCCGGAGCTGAAGATTCGCGGCAGCGCCGGCGTCAGGGCATCGTAAACCTGCCCACCAGAGTTCAAAGTTGAGTTGGGGCTTGGATACAGAATGGTCTAGGGTTAAGGGTTGCAGGACCAAGCAAAGGCAGCTTCCCTCGAGCACGGAATGGAAATCTGAACGCTAGGCATATACAATCTTCATCACATAACATTGTGGTGAGCATGTGCTTTTGATGCATGCGCTTTCTACTTGCAGAACGGCTAAGGAGGTTTTACCCTCAATCAGGTTTGGGGGTGCGAAGCATTGGACAAAGTCCAGGGCTCCTGTGCTGAGGCACAGCTCCCACATCCAAGAAAAGCAGAAGCCAAACACCCAAAACCCAAAAGACCCTCAAGCCAAATCCCAGCCCTCTACACCTTATACACCTTCACCTAGCCTATATGGTAGTTTCCCAAAATAGGGGGACCCCCATATAGACCCAAAATACGATGATCCTTATTATGGGGACCCCCAAATAAGGTACCCCTAGTTTTGGGAAACCCCCATATAGATTCTGCAATTTCCTGGGTGCAAAGAACTGCCTTGCTCAGACGCTTCAGTCGTTAACCCATGGGCACCTAAACCTGGAGTCCTGAACCATTCATCCAGCCCTCAGAGCCCTACATGAGCTATAGTCTAAACTCCTAGTATCCCCCTTCAAAACCCTCATAATACTCCCCTACATAATCCCCTGTATAACCCTCTTTCAGCAAATTAGGCTATAGCTCATATATGATTCCATCGCGGAACTCTTCAATCCCCAACAACCCCCTCAACCCCCGACCCCAGAGCTAAGAGGTGATCGAAACGGTGAAACGCTTAGGGTTGTAGAGTTTAGGGTTTAGGGTTTAGGGTTTAGGAATCCTCACCCCACACAGCCAGCAGCCGATCAGAACCCCCATATCCTTGATCCTCGCCAACATCCGCAGCTATATGAGAGAAAGAGGAAAACGAGGTACAGACATGGATTCACAAAAACTGGCAGGACTTTCCTCAATTATAATTAAGCCCAAAGCCCTGTAGACCTCGAACTTCAAGTCCCAAATCGACACCCTAAATCCCAATCTTTAAGCTTTAAACCACGAACCCTAAAGCCAAGGCTAAAAGATCTTGGCCTCTTGCAGTTGCTCCTCAGGCAAAGGGGCCGTCCGCTTGTCCACGGAATTGAAGGAGCTCACCTGAAGATGGTCACTGTTGCTTTTAGGTTCAGGATTCTAGGCTTCAGGGTTCGATGCAAAAACCTTTCGCAAGAGAAGCTTACTGGGGATAAGTAGGGAATACGGGAATGTCGTATGTAGGGATCTTGCAGGGATGCTATTCCCTTTTTCCCTACTAACCCCTACCTGGACCCCAACAGTAGTGAAAAATCATAGCCTAAAAAACCCTGAAGCCCCCCAAAGGCTGTTATTCTACACGCTTTTGAGGTCCAGGTAGTAAGGAGGGCGCTGTAAGACCTCCATCACGAAGTCAGTCCAAGGCTTCGGCGATGCGGTTGTGGATGTCTTCCAAATTCTCAGCTTGGCCTGGGACCAAGGCAGGCATTAGGTAGGTGTGGGGCGGGGGGGGGGTATGTGTATATATATATATACAAAAGCTATATAATAGGGGTTATGCAGGGTTTTTACTGTTATACTTACTTATCATAACCCCAATTGTATCCCTATAGTTTCTTTCCATTGCTTCAAAGTCTGAGGCTAAAGGTGTTCTTAAAGTTTTACACAGTCCAGCAAACTTTGGAGACTGAGGGTGCACAGAACAGGACTACTGTTGCGATACCGCCAGTTGAACTGCTGGAGTTCGGCCAGCATGATACAGCGGGTGTGGAATACCCAAGATTGCAATCCCTCTCTCTCGCGCAGGCAGGGCAGAAAATCTGTCGCAGCAGTGACAGATCAAAAGCTAGCCATCGGACATGGTGGTATCATTGCGCTGAACCATCATCCACGGTATGCTTTGTGCTAAAAGTAAAGTCTCCATCTCAAATCGCAAACGATCTAAGGACTGGAAGAGGACACTATTATTTCAGCAAAAGTGAAAAGTGCTTGTGGGCCAATGCCTGACAGAACTGCCACAGAATCAGCAGAAGTAGGATTCGGGCCTTCGATGTGAAAAGGACTATTAGTTAAGGCAAGCACCCTTCTATTCCAGAAAGGCGATGACACATCAGGTCTCTTCAAATATCCCATGTCTGTACCAACTGTGTGGGTGTAAGCCTCTCGGGGATGTGTTCACCCAATGGTTTGCGAGATCCCACAAACAACCGCTAATAGGCTCCGCACCATCGGACACCGCTGTCTTGGGCAACTTCCAATACCCTCCCAGCCTTATGCCACGGACAGGCAGGCATTTCACAGTTCGAGTCTGAGTACTGTGCGTTTTAAGTTGCCCTACTGTGGTTATATAGGGTTTAGGGTTTAGACCTGTAATGTTTAACCCATGCATGCACAGGTTGTGTATGACAACTTCCATGACGCTGCTTGGCCTCTATGTTGACTACGAAGCGCAGCAACATTCCACTCCTGAGAAGCTGACCAGTCTATCTCGAACGGCTTGACTTGATGCTCCTCCTTCACAGAGCCCTAGCAATCCAAGCATACAAACAATACCTACATTGGGCCCCCAAAACTGTGCATATTACCTACATTACATATGCTATTTGGATCCCTTGGAGAAATGGGAACAGTAAGAGAAAGAGGAAGTATTACTAGCACTCATCGTAGGAATGGGGGCTATAAGATATGGTATGAGGTATTCAGAGGACGCAGGGGCAGTTTCCAAAATTAGGGTCCCCTTGTTGTGCCCCATAATGCCAGCTGCTATAGTCTACAGGAGTGCGTCACTTCGAGAGCAACCTGCGTAACCCCATTTGAACGCAGGGAGCCCAGCCTTGAAAGAACAAAAGCTGAAGTAAAGTCTACCTGCCAACCTGTCCAACCCCAGCGGCTTTGCATGTTCCGACTACGCTATTCTGCAGTGGTACGATGCTGGTTCAGCACAGATGGACGCTGAATTGGGGCCTTTTTAAGTTGCAACGACAAGAATCTGTATCGTTCTGACGAACATGGCCGCCCTCTCCGCCATGGTTCGCAGTGATCATGTCTTAGTAGTGTGATAATTGTCAACTTTGACTTCATGATTCAGGGTTCAGGGCCCTTGTTGCTATGTGCCTCGTCAATCTGGGCAGCGTCTATCACTGCATTCGCGAGTCACCACCCTATCCTGTTCCTCAGTCGAACTTGGCCTGTACTCTGAAACCGCCTTGTAATAACAGGAAACCTAAGCTCTTTAAGCCATCAAAGAGCTTCAATGCTAAATCCGCAAGATTTGCCCTCAAAAGAAAGTCCTGGTGCTTGCTGACAGCCTTCGGCCTGTGCAATGCGAAGGCAACCTGGATCGCAAAGGATTAGCTTTCTTTGCCATAGAGCGTCTTAACTACAGGCTTCCCTTTTGGGCTTCTTCCCCGGTTCTGATGGGCCGAAAAGCTCGGAATGGCTGGCTACAGTCGTGTATAGGGGTTATGTAGGGATATAATTTTGAGAACATGGCAAAGAACATGGAAAGTACTACGATGGGTTATATAGGGCTCTAATATCGGGATAATGGAAAAGAAAATGGAAACTACTATAATGGGTTATATAAGGATTATAGACTCGTTGTCATGATTGCTGATTGCTGTTGCTATCATGGTCACTTCCATGTCATGCCACTCTTCGAACCTTGAAATCCTAGCCGTTGTCATTGTCATTCTGTCACTACCATCAGGCATCGGAAAGCGTACGCTGCCACGGCACAGCGACCCTTCATCCAACACACCCATAACCAAAGCCGTCCATCCGTAACCCTGAAGCCCTAAATCCTTCAACCCTAACCCTAAGGGTCCAAGGACCCAAATAAAAGGGTTTTAGGGCCCAAATACCATCAATAGTGCAGTATTTGGGCCCTAAAACCCTAGAATTTGGGTCCTTGGACCCTTAGGGTAAACTAACCACTTCTAATCAGCTTCCACCTGAAGACACCAACTGCTGGACAAGGCTTTCTCAGCGAAGGTGCCCGGAGGGTTCCGTCAAAGCGCTCAGGGCTGTCCGGGTCCTTGGCGACCTTGCAGTTTGAAGGTTCAGGGTGTAGGGTTTTGCATAGCATCAGGTGCTTCCTTGCTAGGGGTTTGGAATATCAGGTTGCGGTTGTCGCTCTTCGGATTTGAGCTTCATGTTCCAGTAATATAGGGAACTCGACAGAGCCCACTTTACCATAATCCTTGGTATATGCAGGCGCCAAAAGCCATGCCCTAATTGTTGGAAGCCCAACTTTCCTATCGACCTGTGCATAAACCCAATTCCCCTTGCATGTTCCATGTTCTTGCCGTTGTTGTTCTCCATTGCTGGAGTAATATCCGGATTCTTGGGAACCCTAAACCTAATCCCTTCGTGTCTCTATTTACCCATGTATAATCCTGATATGGAAGCCTATACAGTTTCCACGTACTTGACCCCCACATGAGGCAGGTTCCGTTTGGCTAGGAGCCTCCCTCAAGGCGTGAATTCCACATGAGCAGTCCTTCTTCATAAGGACCCTTTTTCGGATAGCCCCGTATATTTATTCAATTCTACATGTTGAGAAACCCTAAACCCTAAATAGTAGTTTACATATTTCCGTTGTCCCTATATATCCCCTACATAACCCCTATAAGCCCCCTTTAAAAAAGTACGTTCGGTCGGGGCCTTGTCAAAATTCAACCGCGTTTCCCAACTCCCAAAAGAACGAGGGTCCTGCTTCAGGGTCGTCTACGAAGGAGCTGGTTTGAGAGGTTTAATGTCCCTCAGAGTAGACTCTATCCGTGTAGACTTCCACTGATAAGTCCGCAAGCAATACATCTGCCGTCTTCACAAAGAGGTCATGGTTTCCTAGGACTGCAAAGCAGAAGGAACGCCCCGGGCCAATCCGAAACAAGGAACATTGTAGGATACCCTGAACCCTAAATCCTAAAACGCCTCAGTTTCCATTTCATTTTCCATTTTCTTTTCCATTTGATTCTCCATTATAGGGGGATAATTATGGTAACCCTAAACCCTGAACCCTATACAACCCCATTATAGTAGTTTCCATTTTCTTTTCCATTATCCCTATATATACCCATTTAAGCCCTACTTTGGACATCCAACTTGGATTGGGATGCTTTGTCCTCTCGAGCCCTGCCCCCTAGCCTGCAACCTCCCAACATGAAGGACGGTGTTAACACCTCTGTGAGCCATGGCATAAGCTTTTTTGAAAAATATCTGAGCGTCTCAAAAACTCAATCTCACACCGCTACAGGATTTAGAATTTAGAGCTGAGAATAGATGGATTTCGGGCCTTGCATTTAGTGTTGATTCCTTCTCTGCGCCCATGTGGGAGTTGCTGCCAATGAGAAGTGTAAATTGCCTGCGTTACATGCAGCCCTGCAGCACAATTTCATGTGAGAGTACCACGACGTCAATCTCTTGTACTGAGATATTTTTTGCCAAGTCCCTATAGAATGGATCCTGGTGGGTATTCAGCAGGGTTTAGAAGGGCTCCTACTTCGAGAAATAGCCATGTGCGCCCAATCGCTACACCTTGTGTCCAAAAAGTTCACCCTTGGCTAGCCACCGGTATGGAAGCACAACATCGCTCCACCACAAAGAGGGGGCATTCGTTGGACCACCAGTGCAAGCACTGCTCCTGTGCCAGGGTTCACAGTGTGATCTTAATGACCACAGCCAACTTGGAATATGATTGAATACGACAGCTGAGATCTGAGAATCTAGGCTGCTTGTTTGTTTTCAGGACACTTTCATATCGAAACTATGGCGCTCTGTATCTCTTACAACTTATGCCCGAACCGTGGACTAGGACGTAGGGCTGAAAGGACTCTCTGGCTTGCATCTTGGGGCTTGTACGCCTGCTCTCGGTAAGATCTTCAGCCTCTTTCAGGCCCCGCTGAAAGTGATGCAATCCCATCTTGGGGATTGCAAGAAGGCAGACATCAGACTGCGAACTCCTACAACAAGGGTATGTGAGGAGAAATCTGTGGGTGCTGTTTCCACAGGGCGTGCGTAAACAAACGCTTGTTAAGCTGGGACAACAAGTTAGTCGCTTTGGAATCTTTTGACACACATGTTTCCTGTTCTCATAGACTGGAAAGCTGAACGCTCTCGGCTCATCCCTTGCCCATACCCTACATGCTAACTCTTAAGGCACGCATGGGTGACTGAAAGTGCTGAACCCCCCCCCTAACCCACAGGATTGTTACAAGAATCTTCGTCAGACAAGGGCCCGTAGCTGGGCATTCCGCACCCAAAACTGGGGCCATAAGAACCGCTCTTTTGAGAGGAGGGAGGTCTCGTCAATCTTTGCACCGCTCATCTTCTACCCATCCACCGCAGACCTCCTGAAACACGAAACCTAATAACTACCCAAACTCTGAATTCCCAAGCCATTTGCCTCCCCGCCCTTTCTCAAACAACATGGAACCGCTGTGCATCTTGTTTTGCGGGATTGTAATTGTAGTCCCCTTGCAGTTCGGAATCCTTGAGCACTAAGCCCCGAACCCCAAACCCTTGCCCCGAAACCAGTAAACTGAAACCTCTTAATTAACCCTCAACTTCTAAACTCCCGAGCCCCCTAAACCCTCTTTGAATTTCACTTCCTCTTTTCCATTTCAGTCGCCTAACACCTGAAAGAATCCTAAGCCTAAACACTACCCTCAACCCCACCCTCAGCCGTAAACCCTAAACCCTGAATCCTAAAACCTATAATCCTAAACGTATGAACCCCAAAAAAGCCCTAAACCCTACTGTAAATCTATCCCTAGGGAATTATATAATACCTGCATTGGGCCCTAAAGTCTGTAAATAATACCTACATTGGGCTATTTGGATCCGTAGGGTATGAACCCTCCCCTCCCCCTCCTAAACCCTAAACCCTGAACCCTAAACCCTAAACCCTAATCCCCTCCCCCTCCCCCCCCGTTCGCCTCGAAGAGAGGCGGCTCCTCCTCCAGGCCAAGAGCCCCGGGGCGACGGTCGGCCAAGAAGTCGTCTAAGGAGTCCTTGCAACGAACCGGGGGGCCAAGGTTTAGGGTTTATAGGCTTTAGATGGAAACTACTATAGTATATTGGGGTTATATAGGGATTGGTTTAGGGTTTAGGGTTTAGGCTTTAGGGTTCCTCGGATTTAGGGTTTAGGGTTAAGGAATCCTTGAAAATAGCAGAGGGATTGAGGTTCTTCTTTAAACCGGAGGGCTCTTGTCCAGGGATGAAGGTCTACGGTTTAGACCTAAGGGAATATATTATATAGGGGTTATATATGTATGGACTTTATTCCAATCCCTACTAGGCACCAGTACGTTTGGGAGTTTCTAAAACAGGGGCCCGCTGCAGTAAAGACCCCAATGCTATGAGCTTTATTTTGAGGATCCTCAAGCTGAAAGCCCCATTTAGAGATTAGGGGTTATAGGGCTTAGCTCTCCAAACCTTGGGTCTTGGGACGTTGGGCTTACAAACTAGGATCTAAGTAGCCAAGGACTTAAAATCTATTGCTTGGCACGCAAGATTCGAGGCACAGGGCTTGGGTTTTAGGGTGTTGGGATGTATGGGTTGAGGGTTGAGGGCGTGCTTGTGAACTATTGATTTTCACGGGAGTTTGCAGTTGGGTTTGTCTTTGAAATGCCTTCCTATTTAGCTGCCTTGGAACCACCATCAGAATAACAACGTCAAGAAAGAGGACAAGGAGGTCAAGGCCAAGACTGCGCATCCGTTCCGTGTTGGTGGTCTATGCAGTTTTGGCTCTCTCTACGTAAGAGAGGCAGGGCAGACAGGGCAGGGTCGATAGGGCGGGTGATTGGGTGTAGGGTTAAGGCAGGGTCGGAGGGTAGGGTACGAGGGTAGAGTGGTAGGGTCGGTTGGGTTCTTCCATCCGCGCTCTCGCGATCGGGCGGGGATCAGGCAGATTCGCCGGCTGCAAGGACTGAATCTTCCCTTGTAAGCCCCATAGTAGGAACAACTGGAACCCCTCAGGTAAGGCTAAAAGACTCTCCTCTTCGCCTTGATTTATCTCAAGCTCTACCGGGTACGCATGTTGGTTCATAAAACCTGTATGACCCAAGATACATAATCCTGTAGAAACTATGGAGCTGCGTCTCACTGTGTGGTTCATGCAGGAATTTGGTCTATCAACTGTATCTCCTGAACAACCTTCGCTCACTAAGGCAGCTCCGAGGCCCGTGCCAGCGGCGGTGTTAGGAGCCTCCTTCGGGCCGCTTAAAGATGTCTACGGATTCAAAGGCTTACAGTTTAAGGTTTCGGATGCAGGGTTTCAGGCTTTATCTTGCGCAATCTGCGTGTTGGATCCAATTCTGGCTTCGTGCAATAAAAGCCGAAAAACGCTGGCATCACGTGGCATTCTCAGGACAGAAGGGAAGCCCTGATTTTGAAAACCTCGGCCGTTGCTCATTTTGTTGAAATGCTGCGGCCTGTAAGGCTGCTGGGTTTTCCCTGGCGGCTTGGAATGCTACAGGAAGCTCCCAGCCCCGAAGCCTAAAACCCAAAAGCGTCGGCTACCTGAGTAAGAGTCACCTCGGGTATCTCCCCTTTTGGGGACCTGGATCATGGAGAAGAAAACGGAAGCTACTGCATCATAAAAGGGTATATCTTCTTGGGGTTATACAATGGTTACATGGAGGGTAATTGCAAAGAACATGGAAGATACTATCTAAAGTTTGGGGCTGATCTCCGGGATCCAGTCATCTGGCAGGGAGAAAATCCGTCTTGAGGACCCTACGCCCTAAACCCTGAATCCTTAAACCCTTAACCCACGTTCTTGTAAAGAACATACTGTGGATACTTCGTCGTAGCCTCTGATGCCTACCCGGCAAACCTATGCCCTGCAGAAAAGCTTTGTCTAAAACAAGGGTGCTTAGGAGGGAATGGGGGAGTGGATCCCTATAGTAATTAGTCCCTATATAATCCCTAATAATAATCCCTATCTATAATCCATTCCCCCACTCCCTCCTAAGTGGGTCTAAAACAAGGATTTGTGGCAAGCCGGGCCATTCTGTAACAAACAAAACCTAAACCCTAGACCCAAATTAAAGCCAAAACCCTGAACCCAATTACAAGCCCAAAGTTACAGTTTGCAGCAACAAGGAAGGGTTTAGGGCTTGGGGCGGAGGATGTAGAGTTTGGGACTTGGGGTTGCTGATGTGGCGTCAGGGTCTAGGGTGTAGGGTTTAGGGATCAGAAAAATGGAAGCTACTATAGTATATTGGGGTTATATAGGGATAATGGAAAAGAAAATGGAGACTACTATAGTATAATGGGATATATGATCAGAAGCTCATGTCTAAGGCGTGTGTTTTTGGCTACACGCAAACGCGCTCACAAAGCAGTGCGTGTCTGTGTGCCTGCTATGGGATAGGCTTCGCCTCATCGATATCAGGACCTCCCCATATTGGAGTTACGATTCGGGCAGATGCTGATCTGACCACGGCTATTTCTCTGAATAAAATTTTGCGCAACCATCCCAGACCAGCGATGCCTCTTTGGCTCCAAAAGGGGTCAGAAATTGTGAGAAAGCTATATGTGGCTTGTCTAAATAAATATTGTTACTCCAAGGGACCCCGGCGATGTATGGGCATACTAAGGAGAACATTACATAGGGGGCCCCGGGTTTGTTTTTTGGGTTGTTGGCAAACAAACTCCTAAGCCCTAAACCTGAAACCCTACACCTTAAGCCCCAAATCCTGAAGACTTCCAGAAACAGGCCTGAGCACATCATCGAGCTCCATGGCTGTAACGACCTGGCAGCAAACCCTAAACTTTAAACCTATAGGTGTACTACAGCTTTCTCAGGGGTAGTGTAGGGGTATTTATATAAGGATATACAGGTGTGTATAGGGTTTAGGGTATAATTTAGGTTGACTCTAAATTCTAGAGAACTGGGCATGCCGAATGCCGAAGCCCGCGGCGGAATGGGAACGTGAAGTGTGGCTTGCTCAGTTGGGTTATTGATTTCTCTTCTGTCTCTTCTATGACAGCCATCGACATCTACATGAGCTATCATCTAAACTCCTAGTATCCCCCTTAGTCCCCTGTATACCCTACAAAACCCCTTTTAAGGATTTTAGACTGTAGCTCATATGACCGTGTTACCATAATATGGTCATATTATGAGACACAGAACCCATCTACTGAGACCACTCTGTAAAATGTGTTGCCCATGAACCACTTAAGCTACTACAGCGAACCAAAACAAGAAGAGGATGGATATCGGCTAGGTTCTGCTTTGCGTTGAGAGAGTTGCGATGGGGGACCTTCTGTGGATGCATCGTAATGTTTCGTAGGCTAACCCATATCGGCATGTCAACAATGTAAAGGTTGCAAGCGTCCTAAGTATGAGGCCAATGTCATGATCTTCTGAAAAAGACTAAGGACCAGTTGATTTTCTCTTCAGCGACCCGAAGGCAATTTCCGAAAATACGTTAGCTTGTATAAGCAATAAGAAGATACTGACATCAATGACGTCCGCTTCAGAACCCTAGCGGGAAATCGATGCATGTGCTTTGGCGAGCAGCAGCGGTGGCAGTAGAGCAGCAGCAGTTGTATTGGATGAGGTGGGGTTGTGGTGGTGGTGGTGGTGGCGGTGGTGGCGGTGGCGGTGGCGGTGGTGGCGGTGGTGGTGGTGGTCGTGGTGCTGGTGCTGGTGCTGGCGCTGGCGCTGGCGCTGGTGCTGGGTGGGGGTGGGGGTGGGGGCGGGTGTGGGAATGGGAGTGGGGGTGGGGGTGGTGGAGGGTGGCTGTGCCGGTGCTGGCGCGGGCTCGAGTGCCAGCGCCGGCGGTGGTGGAGGCGGTCGTTGTTGTTGGTGTTGGTGTTGTTGTTGTTGTTGTTGTTGTCATTTGTCGTAGTAGTGGCCATGGTGGCTGTTGTTGTCATTGTCGTTGTAGCTCAGCGGTCGTAGTGAGAGTGTAAGCGTTCAACGTAGCGGAAGGAAGTATCACGCCCATTTGCACATAGGTTCACGGGTCAGAGCTAGGATGCACTCGGACCACATCTCAGCTTCCAACAACGACGCCCGCTCCCCGAGATCGATTGCAGAGCTTCAGCCTGAGCTGGCGTGCATTTGGAAATCAAGCCGGGTCAACCTCGGAAATGCTAGGAGGCATGTTGTTCAAATGATCATGGGCATCAGGTCAGTTCCATGGATCATCTTGAGGAGCTCACATGAGATCATCTCCTTGAAGCGGTCTTGCTCTTACTGCTACGAAGGTCCGAGCTTTGCTCTTTTAACTGCTCAGACAGATCATCGCCAAAAGGTCACAACATACCAAGCTGGCTTGCCTGAAAAGTTTCAACCCTTAATTGACTTCTGCTGGATCAAGCACACCACCAGCGACCGTATGACTTTGTTTCAAAGGACGCTGAGGAAACCTTCCCAACAAAACATTCTGGGCTTTAGTTCAGGAATTGTCACCCCAGCCTGAATTCCAGCTTGCGCAAGCTTACGCCACCAAGCTCGCACGGTATCGTGTGCCAACTGAGGAATGGAATTCTGTTGCCAAGGTCTATAAACGGCGTTAGCAAAAGCACTGATGGCTGATGACCGGGCCTCCGGCGGTCACAGCACAAGTCCGGTTTGGAGATTCTCATCGACAGACATTTTCCGGGCTGTTTCCCTCGGTGTAAATATGGTACACTAATTATGGTAACAGTACACTATAGTATACTATAACCATAGTATACTATAGTGACATCTAGTATCTGCACACATGACTCCAAAGCCCGGCCTGCGCCACCCTTCCCAGGCCCCGAACGAAGCATGCTCTTTCAGATTCCCCAGAATGTCTTCATCGTCGATAAGCTCATGCTACGGAAAGCTACCTCAATGACCCTACCCAATAGACGGACCCGCAAATTCAATTGATTTCCCACACCCGAGGGCTCCAAATAGCCCAACGTCGGCATTGCAATGAGCTATTGTCAAAACTCCTTAAATGGGGTTACATAGGGAATTCTGCAGGGGAGTACTATAGAGGTCAATTCTGGGGATGCTAGG